TTATTGTACCAAAGTTGGCCATTACGTCATTTTTAAACGTATGTAATAACCGCCTATAGCCAATCCGATCACGAGCTTGCAGTCGCCAGTTGGTAATATCAAATATCTTCATACCGTTGATCACCTAGTCTTTCTACCTAAGTTACTGACATATTCTACCACGTTTTTCTTCGACTGGTCACAAATGAATCACCTTTCTAACCAGTGCATTATCTTCCATTCGCACGACATGATCAAGCCAACGGAGTTGCAAAATTTTTATGCGCTTAACTATTCACTGTCGCGATATACCTAACTGGTATATCTTTTCGTTCCATCGAATACGATACTTGTTGCAAATACGTAAGAGACCTTTCGAAAAATTCTTCACTCGAATGCTTTTACTGCCTTCTCACCAGTGTTGGTATTTGTCCCAACTACTGCATTATAAAGTGACACAGATATGCTAAGATCTGCTGTAGAGCGAGAATTTAACTTATCGAGAATGGGTTTTACTTCTCAATTGCTTACTTAGACCAAATAAACATCTGGTGGTAAGAGTAATTTTTCATTGAACCTATAAGCTGGTGCCAATTTTGATGTTGACGCTGATGCCCAAATAAACAAAGTCTTTGACCACTGTTAATTAATAGTTGTCCAGAGTGACGTGGGTCATAGATACACGAAAGCGGTATATATACACAGAAGCAGTTTTTAAATTGACAAATATAAAGTGCGTATGAATTCACTTTATTGGATCTTCTCCAGAATTTGGCTCACTGTGAATATTTAACTGTCTAAGTCTAAAGCAAAACTGTTCTAATCAGCTGGTTGACAAATGACTTCAATCTTTTTCAAAGTCCTGTCAATAAAACCTTATATGTAATGTTTGAAAAACTGATTCCATGATAATTTGCACATCATACAGTATCACCTTATTTGCAGAGTGTGTAAAGTATAATAAACATAAACCAAGAATATTCATTTTATTTATATTGTCACGAGAATTTCTATAAATCCTACCTCTCTCTATTTCTTTTCTCATGCATAAAACCTTATTGCAATCGTTTAGATTCAATTCAATAGAGCTTCAATTAATTGATTTCATACTAATAAAAATTTTTCAAATATAGTGTTACCTTCTAGAGTAGTTTAATGCATAATATTTCTTTTAATTTATATTTTCCCAATAGATTTCTGTGATATTCCTATCTCCAATTTTCGACATATTATGGAAACGAATAAAAACTTCTTCATAACTGATTCATATTCTTACCTAAGCAATTATCAATTTCATGCATATTAAACCTTTGCCGCAATAAAGATATATTTATGTATATATGCATATATATGTGTTATGTGTTTATATATTTGCATAGTATATATTACCTCCATTAAGCTCTATATACATCTAGATGTTATAGGTTTTCATTTTAATAGCATATGAAAGAAATTGCGGAAGGAATATTTCACTCCAACCACACAAAGAAAAACCAATTCCATGCAAATGAAAATATTATTATTTTCTTATTTTATGTATAAATCACAATGAGAACAACAACAACAACAACAACAACAACAGCAATAATAACAAAAATAAAACATAAAATGTATTTTAATTTTCTTTTGTTGCAAGTATTGACCAAACTTTTTCCTTAAATTATGCAATACAAGCTTGTGTCTGTTTATTTGTTTGTTTGTTTGTTTGTTTGTTTGTTTGTATGTTTGTAACAAACAAATAAAGAACAAAGTTTCATAAAAGTATGAGGAGAAAAATTTTACTGCAGTAGATAAGTTTTTATATTTTACGCAAAATATTTAATTTGAGACAATAGAAAAAACTAAAAAAAAAAAAATTAAGAAAGTATGAGAAAAATTATAGCATTCTCTGCAGTAGGACAATAAAAACGTTGCCAGAAACAAAAAAAAAAGAAAACGAAACTGAAAATGAAAATGAAAATGAAAAAAAGAGGAAGAAATATTATAAAATTTACCACACTCCCTCTGCCAAAAAATATAAAAATTGTGGCTTTGATATTACCCATGCACTCCTCTTATGAGTGCGTTATTTTCGTTTCAACTGCTGTCAAATTTCTGGAAAAGTGTACCCAATGGCACAGTGGCATAGTGGCACAGTGGCAAAACTCAAGACACTCGAGTGCGGGCCTTGCACTGTTTATATTTTTATTGTTGGAGCGCCTTTTTGTCATTTCAGGTCGTTTTCCCGCAGCATTAAAATTTATGCTCCTGCGTTTAAATTGCGGAAACAGATGAAATGCCAACAACGTTTTTCATTTTCTCTTTGATGTACGCCACAAACACACTTAAACGCACTCACACGTACTGAGTTACCATATTTCCACTCACATATGCAATGCACATGCATAATGACGCAGAATATCACTTGTGTTTGTGTGGTGGTATGCATTGCATTGAAACGGAAGGAAGCTAAAAACGTATATGTGTGTACGGTGAGTGTCATACTGTAAAAGCTGGAAATGAGTTAATATTTCTTAAAAGTGTGATACCGGAAGACGTAACAACGGAAATATGAGAACATGAGCAGTCATAGTTAGTGTTTAGTGTTTGCATGAAATGCTGTACATTTGCGGCAGTGCAACATGTTTATTAGTTTCGTGCACTTTAGTTTTCCTCTGGATTATAGTATATATATCATATAATTTTACTATTTTCTGTTTTAGTTTATTATAATTGCTTTCTTCTGTTTATTTTTTTTTTGTTTTTATTTCTGTTTGTTGTTTTTTGTGTACACTTTTTATATAATTTCATTTAACAGCGCTTCTAGTGTCTGGACGAAGCACCTCTTATGTTATTTGCACACTTCCGGCTATTGTGTTGTTAGTGCAAATTTATGGCAATGCTTTCCTTTGCCAGCTTCACACAATATATAAAATAACAACAATTTCATAAAATTTTTATATACCATGAAATATTGTGTATGCTGACAATGTGAGTGTAGCTGAGAGCTATAGCATTTTTTATACTCTAGGACATTTTTTGTACAGCGGCTTCAATATTATTTCAATTTATTTAAGGATTTAAATTTCAAAATACTATCGCTTTATAAAGATCAAAGATGGGATCTATAATAAACTGTTCGTACAATGCGTCCACTGACGCATATTTACTAAAGAATTTTTTCACTTCAGCGGTATTCAGAAGAATTCTAATCCTTTTCGTATTAATATTTGATCATTCTTATTCGTAGAGCAATTCCTTGTTGATAATTATTGTTATACAAGAGGATCATATTCTTCAGTAATGTCTCTGTATCTTATATATATCGTCTGTATTTTATACACAATACATATTTTGAAAGCAGTATGCAATTAACACTACCAGCACTGTGTTTAAATTATATTTGCTTAGATTTAGAAGATAATTACTACGGGTTCAAATATAAGTTGTTCGTGACAATGCGTCCACTGATCAGGATTTAATCATTCTGATTTATGAACCAATTCTTTGTATATAATTCTTCTCCTATGTTGTACTAGAGGAGGATATTCTCCAGGAATGTCTCTGTTTCTTATATACATAATTTGCATTTATCAATTATTAAATCTCTCCGCACTTAATGCAAATTTAGAAAACAGTATCCATTTATCACTACCAGTTATGTTTTTAAATTCAAAATTTTTAGATTTAATAGGTATTTACCTATTAAATTTTTTAGATTTAATATTTAGGTATTTTTTAGATTTAATAGGTATCCTCAAGATGTTTGCCTTTATAAATGTTTATTATGTGTTGTTGAATCATAGTGAAAATTAAGATTAAATATTTTAAACTATTTTTATTGAAAAATATTAAGTTAAAAATATTTCCATTTATTAATATATATCATATTTTAATGATATTATATATTCTTTTATTATTATATAAATCATTTATTTATTGTTATTATAATTAAATAATATTGCACTTTATTATTTTTTATTTCTAAGTATTCTCTTTAAGTATTCTGTATTAAGTTAAGATATTTCAATTTACTCATAAAAAAAATCATCCATATATTTATAATATAACTATATATTTTATTACCATAACACTTAAAAGTTAAAAAAATAAAACTTAATCTAACAACACCTTATTTTCGATCTGTTTCAGATGTTTTGATAAATGTGCACACATGTGGGGCCAATGCCCCTTGGAGCTTATGCCGTATAAAAACGTTCAATTGAAGGTACTTAACAGCAGGCAGTAAATAAAAAGATTTTCAAACAAAACAAACTAATAATGACGATATCTTAAATTCATACAAGCAATCAAAATCACGGCAGGAATGAACAACACTAATATTAAGAAAAACTACAAGCAAATGAGAAAACAAACAAATTAAAATAGAAAAAAAAAATAAATAATCATAAAAAGTGTATAAAAATTTATTAGAAAAATCAAAACATATATTCTCTTTTTTTAATTTAATAAATGAAAAATACAAAAACAACATATATACGAATATATATGGCCTACACCACGTTGAACAGTGAATCACTTAAAATCTCGTTAACTTAAGTTATCGTTTTGTCGTAAAAATATATTTCCGGTGAAATTTCTCTCCTGCATCTTCACGATTCCAGTGGCAATTACCGAAATTACGTTTGTTGACATTGTTCGAGTTGCTCGTTTGTGTTAAAACACCGTTATTTGTTATTGCAGTTTCGATTACTGTTTTGGCTGTTAAACTTTTGCGCCGTTTTGTGCTTGCGATTTGCCGAGCGCTCCTGCCGCGTGATATTCCTTCTCTGTGACAAATTCTGTATATCCGGTAAATAATAAAAGTAATTGTTTGCTACGCTCAATCGGGCAAGGCACACACATTCCTGCATGTGCTCATATCCGGAAATAATTTAAAGCTCATATCCCTGCTGCCATTTACATTTCACATATTGTTTCCGTAATTTAACTCCGGTTATTTTGAATGAAAGTAATCATTTGCACCAAATGTTAGTGGTAAAAAATTACAGATAATAAAATAAGTGAATTGTGTATTCAAGTAATAACAACATTAGGATTGAGAATTGCTTAACACTTAAATTATCATATAAAAATCAAAATTCTACATATTAACTAATCAATCAAAATGAAGCGAAAACCAAAATTTAAGGGTAAGTACAAAACAGATAGTTATAAATATATATACAAATTTAATTAACTAATTAATTTAATAAATAATAATTGCTATAAATAAATTTTAAGTAATTTTGAAAGTTGAGACGGTACTATTATTAATATATTAATATATATATTAATATACATATCAGTATTTCTAATATCATTTCAAAATGTTTGAAACATTTACTATATTCATGTTCGATATTACGAGTATTTTGTTGTTCAAATATGCCAAAATTTTAGCGCTCTAGCTTTAACTCAATAACGACACCAAGTCGTTACGTGTTCTACTTTGGCTAATCCTTCACTTCAGTGGGGCCACATACTGGACGGTCCACAATATATATATACTGAACTGTTTGAAAAGTTTTACTGCTGATGCATAACCAGATGAGGGGATTTATATTGCTAAAACTTCCCGAAATGAATCGAAGAATTATAATCTACAAGATGTCTATTTATTAAATCAAAAATTTTTTTTAAATTTACTTAAATTATCTGATAGTCCTCTGATATCTGATAGAAAATTATTCAGACATATTCGAAAACCATTCGGTTCACTATGCTTGAGCTAAATGTTAGACAATAAGTATACTCGAAAATAAAAATACTCGAAGTTTCTAGCAACTCGCATAATATTTGAAACATTATTATAAAGCTAAATAAAAACAAAACGAGACAACGAGCAAATGCTGCTCGAGTTTTTGATCCTTTTTGAAATTTTAATTCGAAGATACATGAATTTGTGAACCATTATGCTGCTCGAGTTTTTCGATCCTTTTTTAATATTTAATTCTAAGACACTTTAATTGTTAGACTATTGCAATTCTCAAATACTTTGTAAGATATTAGTACTGACTGAATAATAACTTTGATAAATTTCTATCTTAGTTTTTCATATCATTTATTTAATCAATACTTTTTCACTACAAATTTTTATTTTTTTTTCAAATGCTAAAAGGATTTTTATCCACACAAAAAACTACAGACATATTCCCAACTTCCTACACACAATACTTAAGTAACCCACAACTGCCTTTAAAAGTTCATAATTCACGAACCGGCTCAGTGGCTTGACTTATTATTTTGTATATATCATATATATTGAGTTGAATCAATTTCGTTCAATGCTTTACAACTTACATTCATTGCACACCATTATAATTTTAAATATTGTTACAATATTGAATTCTTACTATTTTTAACTGAAAACGTAGTTTTCGGTATAAGAAGGTCTGATTTTATTTTACTACCTTTTAAAAAAAATATACAATTTTTTAAACATCCTTAAAAACTATTTTATTTTTCAATAAAAAATTTGATTCTTACGTTTGAGTTAAATTTTTCTTAAATTTTTATAATACACTTTTTATACCCATTTATATCACTTGTTTGCAGCATAATCATTAAACATCAACATTTTAAGTTACAAACGTATCTTTATTAAATACAAAAATACACAAGTAAACAAATGAAGTCAAAATGTTTGTAGCTGAGATCATTAGCAGTATTCATAAACTAAGTATTTATTTATAGTCTTACGTACCTGTTTTATATTTTCATGTATTTAAATTGTGTATAAACTCTATGTACAGATGCGCTCGACTATATTTACATCTCCGACGACAGCGACTCCAACACTTTCCTCATATCCAGCAATGGCAGAGGTGGTAGCCTTGCGAACGCAATTAGCGCTACGGCAACAACAGTCGTGACTCTCGCAAGCGCCGTCATAATTGACAAAACAACTGCCTCGGACAACTACAATGGCGTTGCGGTGGACATGGGCTCAATGCTCCTCAATAATACATTGGAAGATAATAACACAAGCTTCTTCGGCGAAAATGTCAACGGAAGTGACCTTATGGCAAATTCCACTGAAACTGATACGAGCAGCGATGACCTGGCGAATTTATTGAAAATGGCAGTAACATCAGTGGTATTGGGCCTGATGATACTCATTACTATTATTGGTAAGTAAAACATTTATTTTTATCTTCATCCTATTGAATTTTTCAACTGATAAAGTAAATGAAAAATTCAATTTTCCACTTATTTTCAAACAAAAATAAAAGAGAAGAAGAAAATAAATATGGGACCCCGATTCGATGTTTAGTTTCTTAAATAGAAAGGAAGTGAAAGGAATTTAGTTAAACTGCTGTTGTGTGACTTAAGTAATTGCAGATTAATTTTATTGTTAGAATGTATTTTATTAAAAGAAAAATAAATATGAATTCTGTTTTATTAAATTTATTATTGTTTTCTGTGTGAAATTTATTATTACATATTTCAAAAGCACAGCACGAATTAAAATGTAATAAAGTCATTTTATCCTTTCCACATTTCATTTCAGATTTAGATATATTAGACTCTCCTGTGTGCTGTTGACATGTGTGCTAGACAAATAATATCAGATGCGTGTGTCCTTTTTAAAGTTAAAGCACAAAATATATTAACAATATTTCAAAAACATTCCAGTAATGGCTTTTTAAGCGGAAAAACAAATTTTGTGAAATATTTTATATGAAATACTTAAAATACATAAAATTATTTTGAGCTTCTGTTTTCTATGTCAAAAATATTCAAACACATGCAAAATATTTTAATAAATTTTATCACTTCAGTAGTGAATGTGCAGATAGGGGATAATTAAAAAAAAATAATGATTGAAAACTAAAAATAAAATCAATTTCAGCTTTATATAATATATATGAGCTTAAAACTGTTGAAGAAATATTTTAAATTTTTTCCTCTTAAAATATTAATTTCATTTTACCTATCTTAATAGGGATAATGCCGATTTTTCTGTGATATGATATATCAGGAACTTTATTTATAGCATCTAAGTCTAACATTAATACTGATGGTTATAAGATAGGTAAGATAGGGATAAGGCAGAAAGTGAAGTATTCTTTGAATAGTGGTATTATATTCAAAGTGTAATACATAGTTTTACCACTTATCTTATATCATATAAGATCTGAGTAGATATCTATTCGACCTACTATGACTTGGCAATTTTAAAACTGATATGAAATACATATATAAAACTTAAATGTTTTATATATATTAAAATGTTTTAAAGCATTTCGAAATTAAAGCTGAAGAGTTCTTTAAAAATCAATTATTTTTCTCATATAATTTTTTCTTTCATTTTCCAAAAACATGAAAATTTAATAGAAACCTATTTATAAATATCCTTATAACCCATTTCAGTGAACTTTTGCTGATGCTTTATTTGCTTGTTTTGTTCAACAAAACTTAATTTGTCTCAAGTGGCATCATTTATTTCCTTTTAGCAACAATTCCAGTGTTATTTCGTGCTTGTCTTGCTTTTATCTTTGTGCGAATGTCAAAATTGATTTCATTAATTCAAGATATTTTCCTTTAATTCAAATGTACCAGCCAAACACACACAATACTTAACGTAACACTTCAGTTACTATACGCAGTTAAGGATATACAAAGCTTTGTCATATATATATATATATATATATACATATATACACACACAAGCATAATACATGTATGTGAGTGTATGTGAGTAAAAGAAAATGGCTCTAATCAAACTACTTCAACCATTTTTCATTTTCATCTCGTTTCACTTCTATACATTTCATATTTGATTTTCTACTAATTTGCTTTAATTTACTTGCTTACAGCGCGCAGGATACTAGATCCTGCTCGAGATACTTTCTTTTTTCTCTTTCAAATTCATATCCTTTTATACTATATTGACATTTTGTTCCTTCGAGGAGTGCGATTATGTGTGCCCTTTTAATTTCGTTTTTTCTGTTTGGCAGCAATAAAAGGCTTTCTGTTTCTTGCTATTTCTGAGACCTGCCAATAGTCATGTTTCCGTAATTGGGAGCCTAATTCTTAATAGGTATTTTGATATTTGCAAGGCTTTAATTTTCATTTGCAAAATTGCTTGTTTCTGTTCTGTATTGTGTTACGGATTTGGCAATATTAACGGCATTACCATTGCACATAGTCTCATTGCGTATATTAGAGCTCTTAGACATAGACAATTTAATTTAGTTTCACTTGAAGCATAATTCCTTGCGAAATTAATAAAATTTACAATTAAAGTACATGAACAGCGTTTATTTGTACAAATGTATAAACCTTGAACAACATTTAGCACCTTCAGCATAAATACTGCAAATTAAAATTAATTTGTTATTACAATATTTCAAATAATATCGTACAATATAATGTTTATTCTGCATATAATGTCCTTAAAAGCTGTAATAAAAGTTTAATATAAAGATATGAAAAGTATACAACGGTTGCATGCTCGTTCTGTATTAAAATTTATTGAGATTTAAATAAATATCATACCAAATTGTTATTAGCAGAAATTTGTTTTAATTGTAATACATAGCTTTTTAAAGGGACTTTAATAGTTAACTGAAGTAGAAATATGTTTATCTCTGTCGTTGTTTAAATATACTTCATTGTTAACATCAGTAGTAAGATAATTGCTCCTCAGCTTTTTAGATATTTTAGTTTTCGTTTCCACTCATCACGAACTCAAGCCTACGTACTTCTGAAACTAATACCTTACTCTAGTAGACCTTATTCTATTAGTAGTTTAATTGATTAGACAACCCCGTTCGAGTTGTTACTTAACGTAATTTTCGTCTATATTTGTCACGAACTCAAGCTTGGATTTTTTTGTGTCTTATTGATAACACCACTGCATCTTGGTCAACTCTGTCTATTCAATTAAGTTAAGACCATCATCGGCTTCGCCTTTCAGTATATTACCCAAAATGTCACGTTTTGGGTATAGTTTTAGTCACTGTAATCAATTCTAATAACGTGTCCTACCTTTCTTTATTTAATTGATTTTGCGGTTGTGAATGTGTTGGAGTGTCCGCACAAGCTTTCAAGTTTATAATTCTCATATTATGACTAGATTTCGTTTTCGTATGTATAATAGACTTAACTGCCTGAAATTAGGTTTCATAGCACCTATAGTGCGGCAAAAAATTGTCTCAAATAGATCTACTATGTTGCTCTTACAAATTATGCACTATCCTTCATATCCAAAAGAAATGGAAATGATTATCTGCAATATTATATTTGAAAAATATAATAAAAACCCTTCATATAATGAAAAACTTCATAAATAAAATACAAGGAATTTGAACCGGAACTTTTTGCGTTTTGGTTCAAAAAAAAAAATATATAGGTTCGGTTCCGGTTTTCGTTCCTGCAACAATATCGGATTATTCGGTTTTCGACTCATTTCCGGTTCAAAGCCCTAATCGAACCGCAATTTTTTCCATTCCAGTTCAAAAGACAGAAAATATACCGGTTCAGTTTCGGTTTTCGTTCCTGCAAAAATATCGTTCTTTTCTGTTTTCGGTTCGGTTCTAGTTTGATGACCTATAAAATACAAACTTATTTACTGATTCATGTTACTGATTCATGTTATTGTGTACAGCAGATCTACCTATATATAACAAGTTTATAAAAAGTTATATACTTTCGTTCACATCATCGATATGAAATGGAAATAAAAGATACTATAATATGGAATATCTAGCAAACAAATTTCAATAAAATACAAATTCTTTTCCTATGGTTATATGATATATTCAACATATATATCTGCTTGGATCTGCAAAATTTATATTCAAAACTTCTTCTTTTCTCATATTAGTTATGTAAAGGACAAAAAATTAGGAAAAAAATATTAGGTTTATTTTGTGATGATAAATGATGACATTATTATAGGCTTATATAAACTTAGATTGAAGTTTCGACTCGAAAGGAAGATTGAATTTGCTACTATTTTCGCTATACATTTTTAAACAAGTCTAAACAAGTTAAATGTTTATTAGAATTAGAACGAAAAATTCATAACAGATGTATAAAAATTTATTTATGTATTTGAATTTAAATGCAATAATAATTGTCAAAATAAAAAACAGAGAAATTATCATAAATTTTAGGTACAACAAAATAGTTCTTCACTTAAATGTGATTGTTAAGTGAAGAGCTCCTTGAATACAAATTGAAAAAGTTCCATACTTGGCAGCGTTAAGTCGTTGTATTTCAATGAGAACGAATTTCATATTGCATAAATGGAGAAAATGGAAAAATGCATTGGAGAAAAAAACATCTCAGCACAGTGGATGGAGAAGGAATTGCAGAAATATTAAATAATGATGACTTAAATATGCAGAAAAATGATTTTAAAGTAAAACAAAAAAAAATTTCATTTTAAAAATATAATCATTTCAACACATAAAAGAAAATATTATAAATGAAAAGAACATTTGAAAATATCACTAAACAGTAAAAGTTTAAGAATAAGAATAGAATAATAAACTCAGATAGAATATACAATAGCATCAACACATTAAAAAAAGGATAAATGCTTTAAAATCCTTATGCTTCCGAAAAAAAAACCTGCAAAATAAGCGTTTAATGTTGCGCAAAGAGAATATTTAAGCAGCTGCAACACCTTGTATACAAACTGTGCGGATGCAGAGTAATGTGGCCAACGCCTTTCTACACTGCAGTGAGGATGTGTGTTGTATATAAACATGTTGCCAGCAGTTAACGTTTTTACTATGTTTTTCACACACAATTCTTTAACAAAAAACTGCATTGCAGGTTGTGTGAATGGTTGAATGCACGTTTACCTCTTGTATGATGTACACCGTTTTCATCATTAACGCCATTTTTAGCCCTAAGTGTAATTTTGTAAGTGAAACAGTGAAAGAGTGCAGTAAGAAGAGAAGAAAGGAATAATCAGCTTGACGTTAAGTCGGAAAATTGTCACTTATACAAAATGTGTAATGGCGTTCATGTACCACAAAATGGGCTATTAAAACATTCGTACATGTAATGTCAAACAATAACTTCCGCTATCGCCGTCCTGACTCCTTTGTATTTGGATGCTTTTGTTTTCTCATTCCAAAGGAAAAAACGTGTTAAATTTCTTTTTATGTGCCGCAATGT